GTTTTTTACTTCAAAATAAGATATGTGCAGTGTGCATAGAATTTGTCATAGTTTTTTTTTAAACTATAGTCCGGCCCTCCAACAGTCTGAGGGACAGTGAACTGGCCCCCTGTTTAAAACGTTTGAGGACCCCTGGCTTAGGCTATTTGGCTGGTGTGGACTGGTGGTTCAATGTATAGTCCATATAAGATACATGGTTAGTCTCTCAGGTATTTCTGGGCTCCAGGTTACGTCATACTCTGCCCACCAGTTGGGGGAAGAGAGGATCTATCATTCCAGGCTTTTGGTAATAGTAAAAAAAAAAATTGAGAGTCCAGGCACAGTCAGGGGGTAAAGGTCAGTCTTCTGTAGCTACTTCCTGCTGAGAGGGGACGTTGTCAGGGGCATCTACCCGGGGTCTCAAAGATTCCGGTAACATAGGTGTCTCTAGGTTCTGAATTCAAGGCCAGATAGATCTCTCCCACCTTCTGGTTGGCGAACGCTTGCATTCTGTTCTGCAGAAAACTAGTGAAACAGCATATGAGACAGGGGCCAAAGAGCAAAATTAAAAGAATAAATACCAATGGGCCCAATAGTGAGAGGAGCCATGGGGTAAGTGAGCCAAAAATGGCATACCCCCCTTCTAGCTGGTTACTGTCGTCTTTGGTCAATCCTGTCCCGGAGGGGTTTAATATGATCTTTGACAATTCCTGATTCATTTACAAAGTAGGAGCATTCTTCCCCAAGAAAGACACAGGTACCTCCTTCTTCTGCTGTCAAAAGATCTAAAGCACACGGGTTCCGTAGGGCTACTGCTGCTAAGGAGTCTACCTGCCTTTGAAGGGATTCAAGGGAATTGCTAATGATGGAGATATCCTCTGAAAATTCAGCAGACAATTTGTGGTAGAAATGAATGAAGGAGGAAATGCCTCCTACTCCTGTCCCTACTGCAGTGAGGACTCCCATACCTACTAAGATAAGACCTTTTGTGGCGAGGTCTGAGAAGACCAAGAGAGGATTCGAGTTCTCCCTCTTTTCTGATAGAAAGATTGGGGGTTAGGAAGACATAAAAGCAGAGCGAGTGTGACAGGTCCTGGGGAACACAGGTGTAGGCTGTAGTCCCACAGAGGAGAAAAATAACTGGTTGAGGGCAGGCAAAGGGAGGGGGTAAATTTATAGATTGTGCACAGTAGTAAGGTGCAGGGGTAGTTGAGGTAGTGGTTTAAGAGGTATTTGTTAAACAGGTAGTGTTTTCCGTATTAAAGAGAGAGATGTTGTATAGGGTGCGTTGAGGTCTGGTATAGGTAAGAGTTAAGTTTGTGTTCCAGTAGGTTGGGATTGGAGTGGCTATGATGAGGGTTTGAGCCAGTGACAGACAAATACAACAGGATGTAAAGAAAGAAGGATTGATGTTAGAGAGTAGATGGAAAGTTGTGTTGATGAGGGTGGGAAAAGGAGTAGGTTCAGGGTTCCTAGGGTGAGAGAGAATGTCCTTTAGTGAGGGAGGGATAGGTTGAGGATTAATATAGGTTTTGATAAAGATAATTATAGTAAAACTAGAGGCCCGTTGCAGGAAGATTCCTGCAAGAACAGGGCTTCCTGAGGCCAGAGCGAAGCAGAGAAGGGAGCAAAGCCTGGCTTCGCTCCCTTCCCCGCCGCTTAGCAGCTCCCTCCCGTGTCCTCTGCTTCGCTTCCCTCCCATGTCCAAATTCAGAGAGGGAAGAATAAGTGACCCCAGTGTCATTTAAAAGGAGATCGGCTTACCTGCCACCACAGTCGTTACCCGAGGCTCTGTCCTGGTGATGTAAGTCTGTGGGGCCCTGTCAGGGCCTGGGCAGCTTCTTCAGTGGCCAGTCCCAGGAGGTCTGGGAGCTCCAAACCGGATCCAGAGGGCGGCCATGCTGGACTGGCTGAGGCCTGAACTGGAGGGGCCAGACTACAGTCTGATTTCCAGTGGCCTTCCCTTCCACACCTTGGGCAGGGCTCAGGCGGGGGTCTCAGGTTTGAGCAGGACTTGGCTCAGTGTCTTTCCTTGCTGCATTTGAAGCATGGGCCCAGAGGAGGCTTAGCCCCTGACTTACCCGCAGTTGGAGGACCGGCACTTCGTTTGGGGTTCATGAGAGTGGTGGCTAGGAGCTGGCAGTCCTCCTTCTGGGCCTCAGCCTGGCCTGATCTCGCCTTTGTTTTTGGATTTGGGTCTCCCTGAAGTATGGTAGCAATCATCTCAGGTAGAAACTATAGTTTAACTTTAACCCCGCTGTTTGGCTTCTGTACTTATTTGCTTTGCTTAACAATAGAAAAGTTATTTTGATTTTCTGAATTATATAAATTATCCCATTTGATTGAATACCCTATTGATTGTAATGTGAATATCCCATTGGTTGTGGTCATTCTGGTTATCGAAGCACATTCTTCTGTACCTGAGAAGGACAGCACAATTACCCCAAGGTCAGAGGACTCCAGATAACTTGTCCCTCTTGACTCAGTGGTCCCAAGACTCAAGGGCTATTTAGATAATGTGCTTCTGTCAACTCAGTGATCCGGAGACCCAAAACTATAATTTAGATAACATGCTTAAGTCTGCTTCTGTAAACTGCTTTTTTGCAAACCAGGTTCCTCATTCCAAACCCTGGGATGTAATCAATACCTTTGTGATCTTTGCCTACATAAATCTGATGTTGGGACTGGGGAAGGCACTATGAGATTTGGAAGAGCGAAATGCCCCCTCATAGTCCCGGATTTGCAATAAATGTGACTCTTTAATTTGACTTCTTGAGGCGTCCTTGTGTGATTCGCGGGGTACATTACAACACCTGTCTCTATCATTAAAGACCTTAAAGGTCAGGTTAACGAGGTCTTTTTGAGGGGTTTGTGGACCTGTATCTATTTTTTTGAAATTTGTGGGATATATCGGGGGAGTAAAGGTGGTCAGGTTAGTGGAAAAAGACCTGAGATGCCTCTCAATCTGTGTGAGGCTGAACATAGAGAATGGACGTGGACTCAGACTATGCCCTCAGTTCCTGCTGCCTCCCTCAGGGGTAGAATGGACGCGGGAATAGAAGAGGCTGTTGAGGAAGGCAGTCTTTGGGTGGCCTGAGAATGAGTGTTAGATGGGAAGGCTGTTTTGGAGCTCACGTTCTCAGGATCTGGGGAGAAGGTGGCTGCTAGTTAAGAGGGTCTGAAGAGAAAGAGCCCAGGCGTTTTTCGATTTGAGAAAGATTAGAAAGTGAAAAGGGAATGGCTACCCGGATAATACCCCCCCCCCAACCTCACACAAAGGGAACTGGTCAGCCACCTGTGAATTGGGTTGCTGGTGGTCACAGGGGCGGAGATTCCACGAGAGCGCACAGGGGAAGGCGGGCAGTTAGAGTTCAAAGAGGGTAGAGTGTGGAGTGCAGGTTTCTTGGCGGGGTTGTAAGGGGGTGGCAGGGGCTGGCGAGGTGGACAGGAATGATCAGCTGGGTAGAAAGAGTCAGAAGACAGAGAAAGGGGCTGAGGACCAGTTTGAGGGGGCGAAGGGGGCTTTGCAAGGAGGATCTGATGAGTGGAACATGAGGAGCAAAGCGAGGGGCGAGAGTGGAGAAAAAAGAAAGCCTGCACATAGGAAATTTCAGAAGCTTTCCCTGTCCAGTGGCAAAAATTATCTAGGTCTTGAAGGATATTGGAATCGAAAGTGCCGTTTTTGGGCCACTAAGAGCCATTGTCGAGTTTATATTATGGCCAGGCAGTGTTACAGTAAAAAATGAGCTTCTTTGGTTTGATGTAGGCAGAAAGGCCAAGGGTAGAGAGGTTGGCAAGTAGACACCCTAAGGGTGTGTCGAGAGGGTTTGGATTGAGAGGTCCCCATGATTGGAGGGAAGGGCTATCAGAAGTTGGGGAAGGAACAAGGAGTGTCCTCCTTTTCCCTCAACCAACCTGTAGAGCAGTGGTTCTCAACCTTCCTAATGCCGCGACCCTTTAATACAGTTCCTCATGTTGTGGTGACCCCCAACTATAAAATTATTTTCATTGGTACTTCATAACTGTAATTTTGCTACTGTTATGAATTGTAATGTAAATATCTGATATGCAGGATGTATTTTCATTGTTCGCGACCCACAGGTTGAGAACCGTTGCTGTAGAGAGAGAGGGCCGAGAAAAGGTTCCAAGACTGTCACCCCGAGACACCTTTCCTGTGGAGTAGAAGAGAATTCCCCGGCCAGGCGCCTGGGCTTTTGTAGAACGAGTAGCCGAGTATACGGTAA